AGCAAAGAAGATCAGACTTTGTCCCAAAATGTATACTGCTATTAGACGATATTGATGGTGAACAGTGGCATCCCATCACTGTCTAGCAATAAAAAGCCATGAAAATAAAGCACAATCACTGTCACTTTTTAATGGTTTAACTTTCAGTTTTGTTTTGGACAGTTCTCTTGCAGGTGGCTGATTGAATAATTGGAACTTATTTTTCTTGATGGGGTCAGAAATGGGTCTCTTGCCCAGCACTCGTTTGGTTACATAGGCATTGTATTGGTTCTGTCCTGTCTTCTCCGTCTTTCCAAGTAAACTTACAACAGCGGCGTCATAATTCTTTGGTGTCAAATTTAAACAGGTCATTTACACAGCACTGTGAATGGGTAACCTGTCTTCCATCGCAGCAACCATTGCTTTAACCTGTTTAGTTGGCCTGCATTGTATACTTTTGGTCTGCTCATGGTGATGGGTCTCTTCTCTTGGCCATAAATATGCCAAGGGTTCATACCGAGTTCAAACTCGGATATAACCTGAGCAAGTTCTGGCCCACCAATTGTTCAATGCCTGAGAAATTCTGGGTGTTGGGTTAGACCAACAGCTTTACATTTGCATTATTTTATTCTTGGGCCTTATCAATAGCCACTAAGGGGAAATGAATAAATAAACAAACAAAATATAAAAGAAAAGCTTTTTCGGCTAGATGATGCCTCAACCGACTATGCTGTAATGGAATGATGTGTTCCATATGCCAAGTTGGCGGGATGACGAATATCATTAATGCAAGTTTGTTTACGTCGCAAATAGGGGAGCGTTCTTAATATATCAGCATCGTTAACTCGAATTATTATAGAGTGGGATATTAAAAGTAGAAGTTTACCTGTTACCACAATAGTACTTTAAACAATGGAAAAACTTCAAGCGAGTACTGTATACAGTATTTTCAATAGAAATTGGTTTGTGCTGAAATATTTATAAACTAATTTTTTGTGACATGGCTTTATAAGTTAAAAATAATACAATGATGAGTCATATGTAACAGGTTTATTAGTATATAGTACATAACATACCTAGTTGTTCTGGGTAGAGCATGACATACTGGGAACTGCTTTATTTGGCTCATATTATAGAAAAATACTCTCTGCACAGAACACTTTACAGTATATACATAGGACAGATTCTTGGGAAGTAATGTGACAAAATGTATATCAATCCAGTATGTTGTCAGTAAGATAAACCTTAATGAGGTTCAATCTGAGACCTATATGTATTTTATCAAGTTCAGTATGAAATCTGTATTTAAACTTTTTTGGCATTTTTTGTATTTTTTTCTTCCGATTATCACAAAACGTTAAAGAAACTTTTTTTGGTTACCCTAGTCTTATAAATACCTTGGAATAATGACTCTAAAATTTGTAAGGTAAATTTTGATGTTATCATTGCCTACCACTGCATAGATTTACAACCTCCCTGGAATTTAGCTTAACAGAGTGACAGGCTCTGTGTATACCACGAGTAAAACAATATGGTGATAGAATTGTGAATGCAGCATGTTACGCCTCACACCCCCAGTCCCAGTCAAAGCTTTGTATACTAATATGAAACAATAGCAGTCAGTCTTCTCAGTTACTGTAATGAAATATTCAGCTACTGTATGTGTGAATGTCAATACTAAGCTGCATCAAACACTACATTACATTCAATAAGAGTTTCCTACTCAATTGAGAGGGGTTTATGTAATTTAATACGCATAACTTATAACACAGTTTCTAAAATTTAATGTATGTGGAAGTTATTTAATATTCCATTATGTTAAATTGATGAAGCTTGCTTGTGATAATACTAGTAATATCTGAGAAATTCTAAGCTGGTGCAAATTAGCGTATCCATAATTAACTGTTCACAAAATACATACGGACAGATAAGAGTAGCAATGTGGATTATAAAACACAGTAACACTTGATCAGTCCCAAACAAAGTCATCACCACAAGTGTATTAAGGTGAAAACAAGTTCCTAGCTATCACAGGTAAACCTTTCATAAGTCCAAGATTCACAAAGCATGTCCGTTTCAGTTTAGATTCTTTATTTTTGAAAGGTTGCAAATTTTCATTGGTTATTTTGATGCCTTTCTCCCCTCCAGGAAGTATTAAATCCCAAGGGTTATGTCACTGTAATAAGGCACATCTTTACTCAATTTTTTAAATTGTCCAAATTTAAACAACTTTAAATGTTTTTATTTTCATCAACAAATGGTCAGGCTTCTTGTTTGAAATTAATAATGTACTGAGAGTAAAGATCACAGGAACTATATAAGTAACTTTCAGTAATGACCAGAGCCTATTTATACTTGTTGGTTTGAAAATCTGTAAATACTGAGGCAATTACACATTTATTTTCCTATCAGTTACAAACAAACTGCTAAAAATGACCAAGTATAATATAGCCGATGTTGCTATCACAGTACTGGGATATAGTTTTGCTCATGGCAATATGTGTTGAGTAACTGAGCTTGGTAGAACACCAATTATTCAACTTGTGTAAAGGTATCCCTCGTTTAACGACTAGGATCTGTTCTTGAAAACAGATTAAGCAGAATGATCAGTACACAAGGGGTAACGAGAAATATCATAATCGAGGGATAATGAGAAAAAATATCCTTTGAGGTGGCATGTAATTGTGTCCTGTAGTTGAGTTGCTGACTTGACTCCCAGTAGCACTCAGAGCAGGTTAGGCTGAGCTGTGAGCTGTATTATTGTTCAGCTCATAATTTCAGGTAGATGTACAGTACACAATTTTCTTCATTTTCTTATGCATGCACACAATCGTTCATACAGAATGTACACACAAAAGTTATAAGGTCAAAAACATAATAGTAATAACATTTCTTATGTGCTTGGCAGGAAGCCCACAGAGGGAGTGGTGTGGGGTATCTCTCAGCTGTTGTATCTCGTGAAATGATTGCCAAATGGCAGTGCAGTATTTTTCTTTTATTCATTATTATTACTACTTATTCCTCATATTGACTCGTACAGTATACACATGACACAGTTCATCTGGGCAGTCACCAAGTTGACACAAGAAACATGTGTGGCTACTGCCTGAATGCCATGACTTCACATGGGGGGTAGCTGGCCACAATTACAACTCACTGCCCCAATACATACTTTCACTTCCTACACATACACATCCATGCTCTTCATTGTTCTTATTTTATAGTTTTATATTTAAAATATACTGTACAGTACAGTATTTTCTTTATTTCTAAGCCACTTTACAGTATTGTAATGATGTGCATTTGGAGCACACAATCCCCAGTTTTTCTGACATCCTTTCCAAATTTTTCCCAGCAAGTCGAAGATCGCCAAACCGAAAATTGGCCATCGTTGAATTATAAAGGGTGTGTGTTATAAATTTTAAATCGCTAAGTAAACGATCTTTAAATGAGGGATACCTGTACATACGTATATATACTTCACATCGTTGATTGGTGAAAATAAATGGATAACATGAATACATTTCCTAAAATATGTTTACAAAAACAAACTAAAACTTAAAATTAAAATGATGAGCATGAATAACCTACAGTATATCCTTTCACATACAAAATTATATCCCGTACATAACAGTCCCTTTCAAGCCTTTTCTCAAAGGACGAGAGCATATAAATTAAAACACTAGCCAGATGTAACTGACCAGCAGTACAAAAGTGAATAAATGAAGGAAATAATATTTACAAAATAAAAGTAATTACAGATATACAAGACTAAAATAATTGGACAAATTACCAATATGGTTTTTGCACCTTCAGGTTAGAGGATTAATGGTAGAACTTCATCACTCAGTAACAGAGGTGGCCCTAATAGACAACACAACAGAGTGGCAGTCTTGGAGCATGTTAATGATCACTAGTTCTTGGGGGGAGTCATTCAACTGTCAGTCAACTAAAAGTAAAAAATAATAATTATAACTAAGGAAAAAAATAATTATAGTAAACAAGTGAAGTTCAAAGTAATAAAGAGACAACTGGGAATCAGATATTGTAAACCGTGATCTATATTTAAGTAATCACAACTACCGTGCTCCAAAACCATCAATTTGTAAAAAGGCTCACAACCTGTAACTCAAAATAATGGAATGGCAAGGACGGGAATGTTGATGCAGTGTAGTGATACAGCACCACTCAAGGAAGACCCGCATGCCAGAACTACTCGGTAAATTAAAATAAAATAAAGCTCAATAGCCAACTGGAGCTAATTTCAACAGTAGCTGCCCTTAATGTGCTTTATACACAATTATCAAAATTATTGTTAACCATTTGCTTCTTGTATTTCCAAAGAATATTATATTTGCTGTAATTTCAATAATAAGACACTTGACTTGCATACTTGACTTTATGCAAGTCTGTGACAAAAATGTACTGTATGTCGCTCATTGCGATTAAAAATAATATGGGTGGGTATGTGTTGCAATAAAGTAAACTTTATTTGGGTAAAATTAAATTTTTTTGTTGCAAAGTACAGTACAGTACAGATTAAGAATAACTGACCATATCTAGTACAGTACATGGTACAGTCACTCAAAATGAGATACAGTGGTCCCTCAGTTAACAAACGGTTCGATTAACAAAATTTCGGTTAAAGAATTAGTTCCCATAAGGATCTTCAAAATTGGTTAACGAACAAACACGCTCTCTTGAATACAGAGTATTTTTACATTAAAATTATTGATCATTCTGAAATTAAGTTAACATATTGATAATATATAGTGCAGTGTTGATTTAAATAAAATAATCTTTAATTACAGCTAGTGAACTTAAAATTGTATTGGTGTAATTACTGCATCGAGCATGGGTCCAAAGAAAGGCGATTTCTCCTCCATCCCCACTTCCTTCTCTTCTCCCTTCTCCTCCTCCACTCCCCCCCCCCACTTCTAATTCCCATCAGCATCATCAACCAGCAACATTCTACATACACACCTCAAAATAAGTGTACTTTACTGCATTTTGTTTATACTTTGTATGTACTTTTCTGTGAGCTGGAACCAATTACCCAATATCCCATTGAAATAATGGATTCGGTTAACGAACGACTCTGTGGAACAAAGAGTGTTCGTTATCCGAGGGACCACTGTATCACTATAAAACTAAATATCACTGTCGATAATTTGCTAAAGGTAATGCCTAGTGATTAATAAATTTCATTCACCGCAATAATTAAATAAAAAGTCTCGGATTTTGTGTCTAGTCCTCTTTAAATCTTGTAATCCGTATATCTCAACAAAAGCTTCCGATCTATTACTATTTGAAGTCTTTATCCCATGAAAGAAAGAATACACCTGATAATAAGGAAAACTATAGTACCTGTACAGTACACACATCAATGATTAGGCTCGGAACTTACAACTCTACAGTATAAGCCAACTACCTGCATGATCACTCAGCCAGATATATACGGTACTGTACTGTACTGTGTATTTCTGAAACACACACTGAAAATGTACCTCCTAACCATAGTAAATATACGGTATGTTTATTTCTCAAAAAGTAACTCGCTACAGTAATGAATCACAGAAGTAAGCTTTCCTTTAATTAGCACATTGATTTAAAAAAAAAAACATGACAATGATACAAAAGATTATTATGTTAATAAATGGTTTGTTACACATATTTGGGTTCTGCTGTATTGTCAAATATTGAATACAGAACAGAATTGGCCAAAGCCTGTTCCGCTAATAATTTTTTGTTTTCGTTTTTTTATGAAGTAAAAGACTAGTAAAATAACAAAAGGCATTTCCATAAAGCTGCAAATAGTTGGGTACAGCTGTTTTATGGTCAAAATTTGCTTTCACTTGGCTGTTACCCTAAAAACGTCCGCATGTATACCGGTAATTTTTGTTCACGTATTCGAGAAACCTCATATAATTGCCTAATATATTAAGTAAAAAATAAATAGTCCCTCCAAAATGTCAAAAATAAAATCCTATATAAAACTCCCTTCATTGCTGGGACACTACATCAAGTCATGAGGCATCTGACAACTCGGGAGAAACATCATAACTTGTCCTCATTCTCCACATGCCAATTGTGCAGTCACTGGAAAAAAGAACCAAAAATTAATACATGTCACTGAAGTATATGAAGCCAGTTTATCATAAACATTAATTTAAAGCTGTGAAGTACTCCATTGCAGCATTATTACAAACATTTCTTAAGTTTTAATAAGATTTTATAATAGTTTTGTAATACTGTACTGCATAGAAGCATAGTTTCTAAACATAATAACTAAACTCATTCGCAGAACTTTGTTAAATGAGCGGGCACTCGCCAAGATCATTTGTAACTTTTCATGTACACTACTGTAGTTCACATTGTAAAAAATGTACAGAATGATACTGTACATATAAAAACATAAAATATAGGATAGTCGGTCTGCCCGAGTACTGTACGTGGCACAAAGGTAATGTACAGTAGTAGGAAAATAAAGTGACCAAACACATAAGTAAAGGATTCTATTTCTAAAAGGCCTGAATGAGTATACAGACAATGACTCATAATTTTTAAATACAAATAATAAAGAAACATGTATTTTGATACCAATAGATAAATTTTCCTCACTAGGAATGTGTACAGTAACATACGTAATTGATTATTTCACGCAGGAGTAACTATCAGGCACCACATATAAGTTGGTGGAGGAAGAATTTATTGAATAATATTTGCACAGTACAGCACCCTCATTTGTAGACAGGAATAGTTGTTATAATTTATTTTACACTGAAAGCTTATAAGACAAACAGTTGAACGTGCTTGAATAACCTTAAATACTGCAGCTAATGTAGCTGTAATACACAGGGTGGATGGATTGGTATGAAGTTGCTACCTACTTTCAGTTTGGTGGCAGAACAACTGATTTATTTATCATTATTATTTTGTATAAAACAATGTAACTTCATGCTTCTGTGCCTATAAACTAAATTTCTGAAGCTTAGCTACAAATTACTGTTCTACTGATTATTATTAATTGCACAAAACTGTACCCTTGTTAATTTGGATCGTTATAATTCAGATTTCGGCTTTATTCGTGTTTTATTTTTTTTAATTAAACAATTTGAATTCGGAATGAATCTTAAATAACCGAGCATTTCCAAAAAGCCCATTATTATAATAGGAATATATTACAAAATAGATTAAGTTGAATGAATTATAGGAATTCAATATGAATTATATTAAGATACTGTACAATACTACGTGTGGGTGCATAGCACGGGAGAGAGGAAGTGGGAGGGAGGACCACTAACCACTCTGCAGTGTGTGTTCCCTTTATGACAACAGCATTCAATTTCACCATAATTCCCATATTTAGGTTCATTTGGTGTCGGGTTAATAAATCATTACCGAAAAACAAATAATTTTCCCAAAAAAACCTCGCATTTGATCCCAGATGAGCTCTTGCACCACAGCAAGCGGTAACAGCCGATTCTTCCCACTCTCCCTAACAATGTTGCCAGCACTCTCAAGCATTGTTGTTGCCACTGCTCAATAGGGTTGGTGCTTACCACAGGATTTGTCTTGAGCACTTAGTAAATAATATTGTAGCGTATTTATGAGAACTTAATCAATATTATTGTAGTGTACAGGTATAATGCATCTGCTTATGCCCTGGTTTATTCACTGATCAGTTGTTTAAGTCCAAAAAGTAGCCAAGTTGAGCCATCACGTATCAATTAATTTTAAAATGGAAAAGAAATAATAAATAAGACGATGGTTTAGTAGTGCTGTTAATGTTTGTGATGTGTAAGTACCTTGTCACATCACCTCACCTCCTGCCTCGCCACCTCACCTTGCAGTGTTACATTTATTTATTACTATATATTATTATTCTATGTACATCTAAAAAAAAAAATTTGCACAGTAATTATAAATAGATTAGTTTATGTGGCAACCAAGGCGTGGCCAGGTGCAAAAACTGAACAGAAAACAAATGAATAATTGAACAAAAAAATTGGGTTTTTTGGTAATTCGAGTGACCCGAGGTTCCTTTTTTGTTGAATTAACAAGGGTATTATAGTGTACAGTTCATATATAAAAAAGGCGGAATAATCTTTGATACTGTTTTATTTATTTTTTATTAAGGGCAGGAAGCAAGCGACTACTGTACTGTATTTTAGAATGCTAACACTAAACACCCTTCTGTACTCCAAGTTTTGTCACAGATAGCACGTACTAAGCAGACAAGGGTTGTAAATAAAAACAACATAAGTACTCCTTATCACCCATTTGATTATGACGCTTTTGGTTGACCCGAAGGCCATTGAATACTCGGATATATCATGTCGAATCATAAGGAGTGACCGGTTCATTAGCTCTCACGTTGAAACTCTCTTACTCTTACCACTACTACCCTGCCTATTTACAATACCAGTAAGTGGAATGAGAGGGTTTCCTAGTTATTCCTGCAACTTGTAGAACTCCTTAAAGTTCATGCAAAAACTGATGTAAGAGAGCCTTGTTTTTAATCACAGTCCACTACTTTATATGTTATATGAAAAGGTAGGAGTGTGAATTTTCTTTTATGGCTGAAAGTTTCAAAGTGAGAGAGGACTGAATCCCTATTAGTTTTCTGCCTTATTTAGGTTCATGGAGTTTCAAAAATACAGAACCAAATGGGTGAAAAGTGTTTAATTTTTCATTACAGTATATACTGTACAGTCTTGGCTGTCTGGTTAGTTTAACCTGTCATAAAGCTGTCTCTCCTCCCTGAAGGACAGAACAAAGGTGTTTAGTGGAAACATTCTCACAGATCACTCAAAATAACCTGAAGAGCATAAGAAAAAAAAACATGAAAATAATTAGTGTGCATGACTGTTCTAAAACAAGATATTAGGAGTGTACAAGAACTATGTTTAATTAATCTGTTAATAATAAATAGCATCTAATCCACTCTGATGATGTAGAAACTGAAAGGGTCAATCAATTTGTTACAGTGCATATTATTCTAAACCCTCACTGGCTTCTTACCATGCATCTTGCCCGTGATGATTTTTTTTTTGCTCTTAAATGCGTGACTGCTTGATACTCGCACTGTGATTATTGGTAGCTACTACTTAAAAACAAGGTATGAAAACCCACAATTTGATTGAATTTCTTGGAGAATTATATCAATGAATGTGTTTAGCCCCATCATGTACTTTAAGTCCCATCTTCATTGTGATAACAGAAAAATACTAAATTTTTGGTGTAAGGTCTGTTTTAGATTATAATGTCATTGTATTGTCTATTGGTAAGATTAGGATAGCAGTGTTGGGTCTATTGTTGATGCTCACATTATTAATTAGAATATTAGTGGGGAAGTCTTTGTTGTAGGTGCATATCATTATGGAAGGTAGGCATGCCTCATACAGGATAGATCTAACAATGAAGATAGAAAAAAAAAGCTGGAAGATTTTAACTACCTATTACCTGGGCATAATATTCTACAGTGGTTTTCCCATTACTTTAAGGCCTTGAAGTACAATACATTGTACTGTATCTACAAAAAAAAATGATGCTCTTGACCCCACTTTAGTTGTCAGACTAAGAACTTTATGTTTGCTATACTGTATATTATTCTATTTGGGTAATGTGTGAGAAATGGTTTTTATTTAAATATTGACTGAAGATGCAAGCACTGTTGTACACCCTCCCCCCCCCCCTCCCGTAGGTCCCTAGGTGGCATAAATTACTTTAATTAGGGCTCTTGGATGCATTGGTTTGCCTTTACTGTATACCTAAATGGGATAATGCATGCAAAATGGCTGCTTTTACTTCCAAAATGTTGCTAAAAACACAAAAATATTTCAGCAGTCACATCACAGCTCCTTTAAATGTACCCTGGTAGCTTTAATGATTTGTTCAGCCTCTGTTAAATGGCACATTTGAAGTGTGCCATCTGATAATGCACATACAAGTACTACTTCACTGTCACAAGTATCATTATTGTGGGGAGTTAAAGTGTAATGAGCATGCTTCTGATATAGACACAAATATTATAATTATAACTTGTTCATATGAATGGCTGAAATCATAAAATTACACTAATTAAACATAGATTACACAAAATATGTACACAAGTTTGAGATGCTGAGTACAAAACTAAATTACAGTCACGACAGACTTCCCACTGAACACGAGGACAAGTGAGCAACTAGTGAAGTTAAAATTAGAGGATACAGTAGTACACTAAACACCTAAGTTCACACATGGATAGATTAAGAATGGTTATTAAATTATCTAAACATGATTGAAAAACTGGGTACAGTACTACTACATGTCCTTCCATGACTTGCATCACCTGACATATACAATATATATGTTTTGAGAGTTAATGTAGGAACTTTGCATCAAACAAATATCTTTAATTAAAAAAAATAATGCACTGAAGCAAATACATAAAAAAGAATTAACGCATAAAAAAATCTTCATACAAAGCTACTGTTTGTTTTTCACTTCATGCACACTGAGTAATTACTTCACTTGTCCACGCTGGAGGTGTGGGTGGGTTTAGAGTGAAAGTTCAAAAGTTTGTCCAGCAGCTACGCCCACTAGGGGCCTCCACACCCGAATGTCTCCCTCACTGATGGGGCGGCAAGACAGAACATAATTAGGAGAAGTATTCAGAAATATTAAATGGTGACTAAGAGAGAGGAGTAAATTTGCTATGTATGATCTTAAGAATAAATGTGAACAGTAATGGCACTTCCTCCTGCATCATAACTGATATAAGCTGCCACAGTAGACCCGTTCTCATAAATAAATTACCCAAGATGCAGTGTTTAATCTCGAGTGTGGAAATTAAACATATTAAATTGAGAATCACCTTTAGTAGGGTTAATATATACTTAACCCATGAACTGCGGTGCTTCTCAATAGGTGACACTTTTCATGCTGCTGAAGAATGAGCGTCAATATGGCGACTATTTCAAACAGCCTGCCTGAATGCGTTACTAGGAGGCATGATTTTTATTAAGTCAATGCCTAAGTAACCAATACATGAGCAGATAGGACAAAAAGATGCCAAATTCAGCTACAGTATATTTTTTTGGGTACAATTCGAATCATGCATGCATGGGGGGTGAGTATAACGCTATGTATGTACAGTACTGTAGTCTGACGTGCATTCATTCAGCACATCATTGTCCCACAATTTATCAATTTGTTAAAGGATTGATTTATCCCTTAACAAACTGAGAAAATACAATTTTAAAGCAAACCAATTTAGCTGCCTTAACAACTTAGGCAGCACAACTTGCCATTGAATTATATTTCCTCTTTGAGGGTCACTGAGAGGACATAAGTGGTTTAGATCCATCTTCTCTTATTGTTATGAATGAGATTTGATGCCTCATTTCTTATTCATTTTCTATTACAATAATTAAGTAGATGAGGGAACTGTAAGTCAGACGGAAAGATGACAAAGAAAGTACAGTACATGTCTTTTACTAAATTCAAGAGAATATTATATTACAAAACAGTACTGTACAGTATTACAATTATACCTGATCAAAAGGTATTCCTGTGGAATAGACTTGGCATAGTGGTTTTATGATCAGATAGTGGTTATAGTTTTCTTAAAAATACCAGAATTACAGTAAATTATTGTAAAAAGCAACATTCACAAACCTGAACTCCCACACCTTACAGTATAAGTAGTTAACTTTATAACATAATTTATGACATTCTTGCATCTTTATATTTGTAAGGTACAACTGCTCATCCATAAATCATTAAAAGTTCTGGTATACTGTATATATATTTATGTGTAAGAGGTGATAAAACACTGATACTGTTACGTAAAAGAAAAGAAGTGTGTTTAGAACCATTTAGCAGGGGCAGATCGGGGGGGGGGGGGATATTGTACTCAGGCATTTATATACAGTAAAAGGTAGTTATTATTGACTTCAGAATATCAACTATATCAATTGCGCATGGCCTCAAAATGCTCACTGTGCTCACCATGTTCCCCCACCCACAACTTGTTTTGATATTCCTGGATTTTATGTTTAGAAGTCTTGATGGTAGTTTGAGGGTATTTATAAAACAAAAAGTACCGGGTATTTTAATGGTTTGTGTGAGATTTATCGCTGTGCTACTAGTGATGCAAAATGGGAAAAACACTCCTCTACCCTGATACAAGTACTGTAGTGTTACCTGTGTTACTATTGGTGGTAGGAACTGTTTAAAGCCTGAGTACATAAACTAACAGAAATGGCAAGCACCAAGATTGTAAAGGCTGCAAATTGACTTCTATTTTATAAATGAATCAAAATTTAAAAAATAAACTTGACAAATAAAGGAAAAGGTATGTTAAGTACAGTACAGTGGTCCCTCGGTTAACGAAATTTCAGTTAACGAATTACCTTCCATGAGAATATTCAATTCGCTTAACGAATTCCTCTCAACATGTTTTCGCTTACTCACCAGTTGGAATATTAGTCTGCCAATACAGTAATCGGTTCTAAGGCTTAAATTCGTTCCCATTTGAGTAACTATCAAGAAGGTTGTACTATTCAATAATTTTTCAAGTTTTATATTAAATTTTTTAGTCATTTTAACAATTATTTAACATAACTGAAGTACAGGAAACTAGTTTTTAGTGCACCAAACAGCCACTCAACTCGCCAAACAAGCATCAGTTTGTATCTCTGGTCAGTAGAGGTAACATCTTGCTTGAGACTCTCTTGAACATAAACTATTTTTATGTTTTTACAGTACAATTATTGGTCATTCTGAAATTTATTTTACATACGGGTATTGACAATATATATAGTGCAGTGCAGTGTTGATTTAAAGAAAATAATCTTGAATTACACCAAGTGAACTCAAAAATTTTTGGGTGAAATGACAGCATGAAGCATGGGGTGATTTCTCTTCCACCCCCACTTCTAATTCCCACCATCATCAACCAGGAGCCTTCTACATACACACCTCAAAGTAGGTGTACTTTACTGCATTTATTTTTACTTTGTATGTAATTTTCCATGAGCTGGAACCAATTACAGTACTCAAAATCCCATTGAAACAATGGTTTCGGTTAACGAACGACCTTCTGGAACGAATTGTGTTCGTTAACCGAGGGACCACTGTACTAGTAATTGTGTGGAGTAATAAAAGAAAAAACTTATACAACTTGATTATTTGTGAATTATGTAGATACAACCTTAGGAAATAAGGCCCATGTCTGAAAATAATATGGCTGCAACTTTGACAGTTTTACGTCTCCAACGCATATGCAGCTTATCAGTGCGTGAAAAATCCATCCACTACATTTCTCACTTCTCTCCTACCAAATGAAGGTTATCAAACTTACTTTGAGGCTGTAAAGATGCAAGTAGAATTGGTAGTGATGGCATTAATGGGAGATGCATGTGCTCGTAATTCACCAATAAGTTGACAGCTTTCAACAGACCACATCTTTATCACACCACCTCGGCAGCCTAAAATAAAAATATTTTAAACATTTAAATGACACAAACGTTCTGTTTGAGATACGGTACTGCAATTAATGTCTAGAGATCACTACTTGTTGTCAACTTTAATACACGTACACATGACTTCTTATACAAGTAAGCAGGTTTTTTACACACACACTAGTGCTAATTTATTTTACTGTACAGTATCTCAAAAAAGTATATGTCCACACACTGTGTGAAACATTATAAGACCACAGATGGTAGATATTGGGACAAGCATTTGCTTTAATTTGACATAAAAAATACTATGTTATTTATTTTGGGGCAATTAATATGATGTTCGGTTACCACATGTAATAGGATCAGTATACCACAGAGCCACCAACCCACCTGGGACATCACAAGTTACATGTAGTATTTTGTAAGATCAATCCAGCTTCAGTCTGTTCTCACCAAAGACAATTGAGGGGGGGGGGGGTGACACAATGTATGAGCATTATTAGGTGTGTGGCAATTTTTACCAATTTCTGAACACTTGGGCTCCTGGTTCCTTGTCTCAAATTAATTATGCAAAGAGTTGTTGGGAGATAACCATTAATCACTGGGCCCAGAACAGTCTTTATTTGGTACACAAAGATTATGGGAATGAAAGATGTGTGCAACTAATGAGGGATGTTTTAAGTGTAGAAAGTGTCTGGGCCATAACTTCATAACCTTATAGGTTGATATCAGCCAACTCCTGATAAGAAGTTTAACCCCTACGCTCCGGGTGACATTCCAGAACGCTGCCTTTTCCCGCCGCTGTTTGAATGTCCAACCTGGGTTAACATGTACCAGCATGACTATTTTTATCTCCCGGAACACGGAGGGGAGTGCGAGTAGGCCCAGTGCGGTCAGTAACCATTCGCCCGTGGTCATGAAGTATAACCCCTCAACTTCTCGCGCTCGTGGGACCCCCTTCCAGCCCCAGCTGGGCGGTCCCGTTTCGCAACTATGCTCATATGAGCATCAACCTATGTTTGAAGTAATTTAGCGTATTCGAGTTAATGATGATATTTGGTAACTTGTTCCATTCATCCACTACTCTGTTTCCAAACCAGTGTTTACTTATTTCACGCCTTAATCTAAATTTGTCTAATTTAAAACCATTGTTACGAGTTCACTCCTGGTTGGATAGTTTGAGTACCTTTGTAATGTCCCCTTTGTTTAGCCCTGCCTTCCACTTATACACCTCTATCAGGTCGCCCCTCGCTCTACGTCTCTCAAGGGAGTGCAAATTAAGATGCTTTAACCTGTCTCTATACTCAAGGTTCCTAATGCCCGGGATTAGTCTTGTCATTCTCCTCTGAATTTTTTCCAAGGATTCTATATCCATTCTGTAATACGGTGACCAGAACTGAACTGCGTAATCCAGGTGTGGTCTCACAAGAGCAAGATACAGTTTTAGGATGACCTCGCTAGTCTTGTAACTAACACTCCTTTGTATGAACCCAAGTACTTTATTAGCCTTGTTACGAGCATAATCACATTGTTTACTTGGCTTAAGGTTCCTACTTATCATTACTCCTAAATCTCTCTTGCAGTCGGATTTCTCTATGGCATCGTTGTTCATCTGGTATCTGGTTTCCCTGTTTACATTTCCTATACTGAGTACTTTACATTTGTCGATGTTGAATTTCATCTGCCATTTTTCAGACCATTCGAAAAATTTGTTTAGATCCTCCTGTAGTTTTGCCGAGTCCTCGTCAGATTTGATAACACGTCCTATTTTAGTATCATCAGCAAATTTACTTATGTTGCTGTCTATGCCGATATCTATGTCGTTTATGTATATAATAAACAATAATGGTCCAAGTACTGAGCCTTGGGGAACTCCACTTGTGACGTTGCTCCAATGGGACTTAGTGCCGTTAATGCTCACTCGCTGTTTCCTGTCCTGTAACCACGCCCTAATCCATTTAAGGATGTCACCTTTGATGCCATGAGCTTCTACCTTTCTAATTAGTCTTTCGTGGGGGACTCTGTCGAAGGCTTTGCTAAAGTCGAGATATACCACATCATAATTGTGCCCCTCGTCCACCGATTCGAAAACTGATGAAAAGAATGTTAATAGATTAGTTAGGCAAGAACGTCCGCTTGTGAAGCCATGCTGGGAATCATTGATCAATCGGTGCTTCTCCAGGTGATTTCGAATAGAGTTTGAAATGATTGCTTCCAGTAATTTGCCTACTATTGATGTTAGACTGATTGGGCGGTAGTTAGAAGATAGTGATCTATCCCCCTTCTTGAAAATCGGTATTACATTCGCTATCCTCCAGGATTCTGGTACTACACCTGTTTTTAAGGACATGTTAAACAACTTTGCTAAGGGCATACTAAGCTCTTCCTTACATTCCTTTAATACTCTGGCAAATATCTCATCGGGACCAGGTGACTTATTAGGCTTTAGTTTGTCTATTTGCTTACTAACAGCGTTACTAGTCACTACTATCTCACTTAATTTGCTTTCTTCACTATCTCTGAATAGAGTCGGTGCCTCGGGTATCATTTTTAAATTTTCGGTGGTGAAAACTGTTGAAAAATATTTATTCAAATTATTGCTCATTTCTCCGTCGTTATCAGTGAGCTCGCCGGAGTCTGACCGTATTGGTCCAATCTCTCGTGGAGAACTTGATAACACTAGTTGACGTAAGCAAAAACGTCTAATTCGTCATCGTCCCCTGGTTCTTCCTTCTCATACATGTTTGCAGAGTTGAATAGCTCCATCATGTGTGGTGTTACTTTGAAATCTCTGCAACATTTTCCTTGGAACTGGAGCATTTTCACTTCCATCATTGGCTATACTAACCCAGACGTATTTTTCTTCCCATGATTTGTTATATTTTCTACCACTGTCGTAGGACCCTTTCCATTTACTAGTGGGCATTTTGAAAACTAGCACTCAGAAGTTCAGAAAGTAACTCAGATGGCTTAGAATCTGAGACTTAACCCATATGCTGGACACGTTCAGCCCGAACAACTCAAATATGAGAACTAACAACTAAGGTAACTAGTAAGGTCAGTCAGCTCAGTAGGTCACGCAATCATGTGAAGAGGTGAGGTCACGGAGCCAGCGTTTTCATTGAGAAATTTGAAAATCTGCTATACTTGTCATAAAAATCCACTAGATGAAGAATTAATACGTGTTTTACAAAATTCGGCCAAATAGTTTGGCCAGGCGAAATTTTTGCGGTCAAAGTAGAAATTTGACCGTGGAAACGGCCATCTGGCAACCCTGCCCTAGACCAGAATACACCACCCACCCACCTCACGTGCGGTTGGAGGGAAGATTCTTGGTAATTACCTTCTTTTGTTTGTTTATTGACCAGTGTTTGTCCCTTTTATGATGTTGTATCAAAGTAATATTATTAAAAGTAGTTTAGTTGTATTGTAGTGTAGTATTACGAGATGATAATGATATAATGTTATGAATGTATTTATTTGTGAAATTATTATTCCGATAATTATTTATGACTTGCTCTTAAAGACAACCAGACAGGCTGGGTGTGTGTCGCCGAACAATCTTTATGAAAAGTAATGCAAATAAAATAAATTCTAAATTAATTATTTATAGTAAATAAGTATTATGGTCAGTAAAAATATTCATTTTTGGCCATCTCGGACACAAAGGAGACGGGAAAAGGACCCCTAATGCATAGTGACCGCGAGCTGCTCCCTGCAAGAAAACCCACAATTGTTAGTAACGTGGACCTAAGATGATCTTTGCTCTGTTTTGGAAATGTTTCTTAGGGAGGCTTCTTGACTCTTGGAACCCCCAAATTTTGTTTGACTCTTCCAGAATCCGGATTAACTGGGTATGAATCTTTGAGGGTTCACTGTATTTAGAGTTTCTTCTCGTATGTCCTTTCTGTTGGTTGCAAGGTGGCCCCAAGGATTTTTTGTAATATTTTCTGCAGTCATTTTTAATTTCATTGAGAGAAAGAGTTTCTATATTTTGTCGCTACTTTATGACTGGTTGGTTTGGGTGACTCCAGGGAATGTCAGGTGTGATACTGACAGTGTTGTAAGTGGGATTTTTACTTATAATCATGTTTGTTTTTTTCTTTTTCCCTTTTCTTTCCCAGGTTAGCATCAGGTGGTTTGAGAAGATTTGTTAACTTCTTGAGCAGGTGGTTGGTTCATGCTCTTCTAACATTCACTCAAATTCAATTATAAATTTATTCAAGCCCAAGAAAAATGGGTGCTAAACTTGCATTATGCACTACTACAGCTTGTGGCCACAGAAATAGAGGAAAAGTATTACATTTGAAGTTAAATTAGATGTGGTAAGGGTTTGAAGGACAGTGAGCTGTGGACATAGCAAGAGCTCTCTGTCTTGCAGCCTACAACTGTAGGTAAGAATAATTTGTGGAAATGCAGAAAATATCAAATCGTGTGGTAAAAGTATTTCTCTATTATCTGCTACAAAGTTAACTCATAACAGAAGTGGCATTATGGAAAATATGGAAAGAATGCTTAACATGTGGATCGAGGATGAACATCAACAAAACTTTCCATGTTCGTTGCTCTCGTGAAAACTCTCACGTTTATTTGAAACTTTGAAACAAGAAGGTGATAGTGCTGAAAGTGAAACATTTGTCAAGTTGAGAAAATTGTGACCAGAAATGTACCCAAGGAACATAACCCTTATTTATATCATTGTGTCTATGGCAAAATCGTTTTCACTTAAGGTTGTGGTTTTCAGGAACCCAACAAGGACGTTAATGGGGGAGTTGGTGTACAGTAGCTAAAACGACTATCTGTGCATACTTTGTGGGAAACAATATGAGACCATGGACGATAAATTTTTAAGTATACGAGGGCTGTCACTAGTCACGTAAAATTTCATAGCATATCGACTCCCACCTGTACAGATAGTTGTTTTTAGCTACTGAACATCATTATGGTACCTTCCATGAATATTGTCTGTGTCTTCCCATGTAACAGCATTTATATTTATCCTAAAGTTGCATTTCATTATACATTAGATGGTTTATCTGTATCCCCTCATCCATCTAATTACATGGCCGATAGTATCTTTATTTATTTCATATTCTCGGTGCATCCCATTAATCTAAATACGTACAGGACAGTACTTCATTTATTCTTCATTTAATCAGTATAAAGCATTCATGTTTCTGACCCCATATGTAGTTTTGTAACTATAATCTGTTCTCCCAAAGCATGCAACTGAGGCTTAAGGTCAGTTTGTTTATCTCTGATAAGTTTAGCTCTCCAAGTGTGGAAATTATCAAAGCTAAAAATGAAGTTATTTCTTAATACACAGGTATAATATAAATACCAAAGAGCTGTATGTAGTAACTTTCGGCATCTATCTACCATCCAATC